CCGTCAGGAAATACTCTCTCGATTCCAAAAATTTAAATTTCAATAAAATTGTGCACAAGTTCATACATATATGCAGAACAGCTCGACAGATAAACTATAAAATGTTTCAGTGACGCAAAAAATGCAACTCGTTAAATTGTCGCGATATCAAGTTTGTTATTCACATTTTGTTAGATATATTGAATTAATCGTCACGCGGATTTAGTTCTAACTATAAAAATAAGAAATTTAAAAACAAAGAACGATGAGGAAAAGAGATGCAAAATAACGCGACAAAGAAGACAAGATGAAGTACAGAAGTACATACAGTACTCGAGATGGCAAGGGGATTCTCGGCAAGCACCATTAATACACTTTACTGTACGTGCGCTTCTCTGATTTCTTGGTCCGAATGGACTCGACCTCGTTAATTTTTAAGAGGCGCCCCATCGCCCCAAGCCACGAGAGGAAGAAGCGGATTGCGGAAAGAGAACCGCCGCGAGATCGTGCTTTACTTCCACGCGTTGCTGGTGCCGTAATTACGCTGATCGACGCGACACGATGCATTTCGAGCATCAGTGAAAATATATTTCGCTGTTCGCCGTAATCACTACAAATGCGCGCGAGTGTATCATCGTTATGCGAATCGCTGAGAGTGCGGTGGAACACTGATCTCCATTTAGATACGACAGCAGATCTATTGTTACTAACTTGCACAGTCATTTGCACTTCCTGTACTTACATGGAAAGAATTTGCTAAAGTATTTAAAAATTTAGCTAGAGATACAAATCTGAAAATAACTTTGTTGGGCCATCAAAATAATTGTAATCAAAATCAAAATAAAACAGGACGCTTAGCATAATGAACAATGTTCTAAAAAGTTTTCAGCTTGAACGCTCTACATAATTATTGCTCTACAAACAGATATATTGCCACAGATTTTTCTATCCTAACTAGACAGCCGACTACTCACTTATATGCGTTATCTCTTCTACAAGTTGTACAGACTTCTATAAATAGACTGCCAACTTCGCCTGCATGTTTGAATACAGAATTGTGCAGCGTCATATTTGTGTTTACTGATTACATGTATAAATCACACGGATAATCACTGCTCTCACGTCAAAATTATTATAACTTATAGGGTCTTATATTTAAGACATTACTTCCTACTTTATATCGACCTTTGTGCAATTTATTATACCTCAAATTATCATTTTTTATATTATTATTTTTCAGAATACAATAAAATTAAAAAGCTACTATGAAATGACATTTGACATTTGTGGTTACTGTTATGACCAACGTAGTATTTTCACATAAATTCACTCACAGACAGGACATACGCATATGTGAACTGAACAAGGACGGCACGGAATCAGGTTCACCTCTTTCTATCAGAGTCAGCAGTCCATTTAAATATAGTCTGTTGTATACCCCCTTCCATGTGCTATCGCGGTGATGCTGTTACGTTTTGAAACTAGCATCGCTGCGTCAAGGTTCGAGAATTTCAAATTGCAAAAAAGTAACACGAAATTTTGAGTTTTCAAAACTCGAAACTTAGTCTCGAAAGTTTCAAAATTTCGCGGATCCTTAATTTTTATGTATAATACTTTAACAAAATCGTTCTTTCCGTGTAAATAAGACATACATACACTTAAAAAATTTATTAAATTTTAATATTTGTTTTATCTACTAATTAAATTTACAAAATGTAAATATATGGTATACACACACATATAATATTTAATACAAAGAATCATTAATTTGATTTAAGTATCATTTCTTTATTGAAAAAGTATTTATTTACTGTAAATAAATAACTACTCAGTTATTCAAACAAATATTTATTAAAATTAGTAAATTTTTTTCAATTGCAAAAGAGGTCATATTTTTCCTGTAATTACAACATAGCATAATGTAATTTAACATGTATGTTTTACACGTATCATTGCAGTTAATATATAAGTTTAATAATTTTCGAAAAAGGATTCTGAACGTAGAATGTTCGATATGTTTCCCGACATGTTCTTCTTGTCTTCAGCATATTGCTACTTTGGACAGCACATGTCACAGCAACCGCACCGCGACATCAAAACAGACAATTCGCAGTGTCGCAGTGTCAGCAATTCTTACCGCGAACTTCGGATGACATTGCAAAGTGCAATTCTATATCTCCAATACAACCGCGGGAATGCTTGAAATTGAAGCTAGGATCGTACCGTTGTATTACGATATACATTAAGCTGAATCACACATGAGATATATGTAGGAGCAAAGCGCAATATTCTCTAATTTTGCCGATATTGAATTAGTAAGATTATTCTGTAGCTTACTATAAATTCAAAGCACAAATGCATCAATGAATAATGATACATGTTAAAAACAGTCATATAGAAATTTCACCGTAATGTAAGTATAACTTTTGATTATAATGTCTAATATAAATTGCACTGATTAATACAACTTGCAGCAAATATTTCATTGATGCAAACCGTTCGTATGCTTTTATCAATTTACATGCAACCGCTATTAGTATGCAACAATATAGTTCATTCAATCAATTTCGTGATTACTATTTTTAATTAAGGAGAGATGCTGTGTGTATTTATAAAGTAACTCTAAATTAAAAAGAAGAAAACTTTAAATATATAATTCATACAAAATAGAATGTATTGGAAATTATTTAAACATTGTCAATAAATTTTGAAAAATAAATCGAAATTTTATATTCGCGCATATTTTGTGAAAATTGATGTGACTAAAACGTTCAACAAAATTTGTCAAATATTTGGTCTCGTTGTGGAATAATTGTTAAATATTTCATTAAACATTCCGAATGCATATATAATTACAATGGAAAAAAGTTGCACATATTTCTCTCGTGAAACAAAGTAATAAATCTTCGTTAAACAAAGTAATAAACGTAGTAAACGTTTTAATTCGAAACAATCTTAAAAAATAAAATAAAAAATAAGAAGCTTCAAAAGAATGGTATGATATACGGTGCATGCTGTGTGTAGAAAAAAAAACAGATGAATAAAAATAACGTAGCGAAATATTCGTAGATGTGAATGCTAGATTTCTTGAGCTTTCAAAATATTCAGAACATTATTGTTCATCAAATATTTTATATAAAATGTAATTAATAAAATTTGTATATTTAAATATTAAGTGAGAGATATATATTAGAATTATTTTTTGAAACATTAAACTTTACTCGAAACAAAACATTTTTCACAAACTTGTAGAAATACATATATCTACATATATTTTAATAAAAATATCACATTATATCCTCTAACAAATTAAATTGTATAAATTTTAAGAGAATCCTATGAGTTCCGAAATCCATAAAAACCTAATATATCAAGAAAGACGAACAAGAATGGATATTCTATAATGGACGACCTAATATTCACTGACTGTTTTTAGCGTCAACGTGAGGTCAAGTAAAAACGCGTGTGCGCGACAATTTTCGGGCGTTTAATTTCGATCTCCGGCGTTGGAAAATCCTCACCGGATTTTCACGCCGGTCGGAATTACTCCGTGCGTCCGCGAAGAGAGGGCTGTTAACGTGGTGCCCGCGGGGTTCGTGACGTTTTCGAGCAAAAAGAATTAAGCGATAGTGGGGAAGATACTGGCCGTGCGCGTAAATCCATTAAAACCCGTCTTTTGTTCCCGACCTGACGAAAGGATTTATAGGCCGACAGCGATGTCGGCGGTCGTGCCGTAACAAAGACAAATGGATCCGCGAATGAAGTAGAATGGCCAACACAGCCTCAAATATAAAATTAGTTTGAACTTCATGCCTCGGTGGTCGCGCGTCATTCACGCGCGCGAAAAAGAGGCGATATAAATATTCGTCGACGCGCGGTTGTATCCGCTTTTACGGGTCCACGCGTCACCTGAATCATTTATTATCCTCTTTTGATGTTACATAATACAACTCGCCGAGCGCAGAGGATGTGTGGGGGCCGAGGATGCGGGGAGGAGAGAAAATCCGCGACGACCCGACATACGTTCGTGATATAATTTGACGTGATATAATTTGACGTTTTGCTGCCACGGAAAGACCCGAGCGACTTTTGTCTCACGTGAGATTTATGATATATGATAATTTTATCGCGTCGCAAAACCGGAAAATTACACGCATGTCGAAACCGACGAGCAAAAAAAACGTCCAACCGGGGCGGCGCTCAGAGAAAGATTTGCGCTCGGATTTGCGCGACATGAATTTGAACAATGAGCGACATTAACGTATCGGCAAACAAGTTTTAATGTCGTTCGGATCTCATTTAAACGGAGTTTTTACGCTATGAAGCTATTTTCCATTAATTAGAAATCAAATAAGCCGCGTGTGTTTAAATTTTAGATAAAACTAAAACACACACAATTAAATAATACAAAATCAAACTCTTTTTTTCTCCGATCATCAAGTACAAAGGAGAGTTCATCAGAGAAATATTCTTCTTTTTATTATTTGCAATGCTAAAATCGTGAATTGATGATGTTAAAAATATTGCGCGTACCTCGGAATCATAATCCGTAAATACTAATGCATATTGTTTTTGTAGATATAAAAAATATAAATAATTCATGACTCTATATCGTTACAATTTTATTCCGCAACTTGACATTAAATCTGCACTCGTTCAATATAAACTTGGTTTCATGTATAGGAAATAAATCCCACTAAGAGCGTAACTTATAAGAGTGTTCGTTACATATAAGCTTCCTCTTACATACCCACAATGTCTAATATAGGTACATATACGAGTATATATTAAACCGCGCACATTATTTGTCTTTTAAATCCGTTTGAGTAATAGCGTTTAATTACACTTCGTGGGTGTCCCGGACAAGGAGAACTCATTTCGAAAGTCAGATTCGTGGGAAATAAAATTGACAGATCTATAGTCTTATTCTCTTCTCTTTCTTTAGCGGTTTCTCCTCGGAAAGCACGCGGAACCGAGAAGGATTTACGTCACGCGGACAAACAGAGGTGTAGTGTGCTTACCGCTAATCCACGTGCCGTTGAAGCTCTTGGGGGATAACGAACCGGAGAGCCATTCCTCCAAGGAAATGCCGGCTGCGCCGTTCGTTCTAGACGAGGAGGAATACGGACTGCCGATCAGAAGGATCCCCCCCGCGATCAGCAGGGCCAGCACGATTATGAGGACAATACTGCAGGCCAGGAAGCGCCATATAGATCGCTGCTTGTTCTTCGTCATGAGATCCTGCAAATATCATTATGAGCGTGTTGAATACACGAGCAATATCGTATATGATGGAAAGCATCTAATAATAGATTTTTACAATCATTTGTACAATCGCCAATGAAATATAATGCAATCGTTGATTATTTTTTATTTTCATAACTAATACAATTAATCATACGATTAATTCTTGTTTCGTAGGTAACAATTATAAATGTATTTCAATTTAATCATGAACATTAATTACGCAACATACACATATATGTTTATCAGCAGTGCGAATTTATTGTAAAATTTGATTCAATTCACTTAACAAATAACATAGAAATATTAATAACTGTTTATTATTTACACAATAATATATAATTTTCTCAATTGTTAAAAGACAAAAATAATTATATTATCTTCAAACATTCAAGAAAATTATTATATGTATTGTGTGAATAATAAATAGTTATTAAGAGTTCGATTTCATGCTGTTGGTAAAGTAAATTAAATTGAAATTTTACAATAGATGGTAAACATATGTAATTACTACCCAAATGTTCAAATTAAAAATACAATTGTAAATGTTATCTACCAAACTAGAATTCGTATTATGAATATTAAGATTTAACTGTATGAAAATATATATGGTACATATATTATTTATTAACTATTATATTCACGGCTATTGTGTATAAGCAAACGTGGAAAATGTTCGAATATATTTCACTCCAGTTACCGACTACGTTGGACTGTTTGATTTATATCAACATCTGTTTGTCCAACATTTTAATTAAAATGTTGCATGCGTGCTGCATCACCGGGGGATGAAGTGCATTCTGGAAAAGTTTCGTAATATCGTCGAAATATTCCTGCGACTGTATGCGCACACTCGTCAACAGTAATGTGTAATCGAAATAATTAAAACATCTCAATATTGATATCGGTCAAGTCCATTCACGTAAGTTTCAGCTTATATGTAATACGTGTGTGTGTGAACAAAGTGCGTTATTACATATTTATTTCACTTTTTTTTTTAAAAGTAAAAATTCACTTTTCTCTTTCCAGAACCATAGATCTGTATGACAGAATCCAAGAATTGTAAAAAGGTTTTAATTTTATGGAGAAATTAAAAAAATACTATACAAAGGATTCAGTCGTTTCGCGAAAATTCGATTTTCACGAAAACATTAGATTCAGTCCAGCTTGAAAAATGATATAATTTCACATCTCATAATCGCGTAAACGATCCGCGTTAAGTGAGACGAATCAAATATGCTGGTCAGAATATCCCGTATATTCGTGGAAAAGCCACCGTCGTCGCTTCTCTCTCTAGAATGACATTCTCGAACGCGGCTAGTGAGAGATATAGCGTTGCTGCGATCACGATATGAGGAATAGACTGGAAGAGAATGAAAAAGAGATGGGTGGGACAATTTCTACGTAAGCCGGTCTTATCGAGAATTGGATTTCGTATTTCTGGAAAAATAAAAGCCGACGGCGCCGCCGCTATCAGCAAAACGGCACCAATCGGCAACGTACGCCATCCTATATTTATAAATCTTCTTTATCAAAATTAAATGTGATCGGCGCCACGGTCAGCCGGACGTTATCGAGCCAAGGCGTCGACGTCACAGTGAAATTTTATCCATTCCGGATCTATTAGATGACGAAAATAGAACATGGCAATTTGGGGAGAATAACCGCAAGTTAATCAATACACAAATAGTGTTCGAATTAAGAACCATGAAATGCAATGGCGCCATCCAGAAACGAATAGAATCAATTTTTCGATAGTCCATATTTACGTCTTTAGATATACAGAGTGTTTCAGGTATTCTGAGGCAAACTTTGAGGAATGTACACTGTAAAAAATGAAATGTTAATTTTAACTCAAAGACATTGAGTGAATTTTCTGAGACATGCAAAAATGTTAACATCGACACAAAAATGTTGATTTTAACATTTTTGCATGTCTCAGAAAATCCACTCAAAGTATTTGAGTTAAAATTAACATTTTATTTTTTACAGTGTACAGATACAAAAACTTTTTCTTACATAAGGACTTTTCTGCCCCAAAAGTCTTACTAACAAATAATCAAACGCTGTACTAAAAAGATTTCTACTAAGAATATACTATACAAAGTTTACAAATTATAATTATACGTTGTGGCAAATCGAAGACGTATTAATTTATTAAATGCTCGCAATTAAGGATATACTTTTTTATACACGTACCTTAATGCGTGAGATTTTCGAACAGATGTCTATCTGCTAGATGTTTTGAAAGTTACATCATTAATTGAGATGAATACATACATTTGTAGAATATATCTTTGATATGGTCGATATCAGCAAACGCACAACGGTGCGATTTTTCTTTCGTCTGATATTTCTCTTTTTTTTTCTCGATTTCAGAGGCTCCCGCAAGTGCGCACGGCGTGATTTATGAGCGAACGCCTTGACGGCACCGGATACGCTTTTCCTATACAGAGTGGAGAAACGATTTACGGTTCGGCGTTTAACTCACTGTCGCGTTAAAGAACGCGGCCTTTCCATTTATTATGCGTCGATGAAACGCGACTTCCTCGATGAGAACCCGTAGAAATGACATGACGAAACCTTCATGAAAACGAATTGTATAAAACGTAGATTGAATTTTAACAAAGTGTGGAAAAATTAATGAACAAGCTTTCCAATTACTAAATTTTAAACAATTACTAATAATTACCAAAATTTAAATAGTCAATAAACTATTTCAATTAATTAATGTAAACCAAATGTTGAGTAATTTTTCTAATTGTTAAATGGAATTTTTACAGGTAATTATTAATCGTCAAACTCAAATATACGCATGAAAAAAATTTGTTGTTCGTAATATTTAATTTCCGCCATTAAATATTTAAAGCATTAAAGTTTCAATCTTTGTTAAATTAAATTTTACTTTATCAAATTAAATTTCACTGTAGAAACAATGTTTCAAACTCAATTTCTTAGTTGGTTATTTTTCATCGAAAACATGCACAAAAATCAACAAATGATGCATGTATGGACTCTCTTCTGAAGAAAGACGAGTGGAGAGAGAGAGAGAGAGAGAGAGCTAAGGAAAAATTATATTGACAGAGATGATAAGGTGTTTAACCCTCCACAGAATAACGCCATGTTAAACGGAATGAAAAATGCCGGGTATACTTCGACTGAAGGTGCTTCGTTCTATACAACTCGTAACTACTGCTATGTGCCGGTGCGCGAAAGCAGCAATAATAGGCCACAATAAATATCACAGTCTATAGGTGCTCGGCATTTCTAGTCGCGCTCGTAAAATTTCTAATATATCTCCGTACAACGAGCGATTTCTCGATACCGATTGCTATTAATGTGCATGCGTAGTTGTATATGTGTGTGTGTAATGTGCAGGAGTTGCGGTCAGGGTACCCTCCGACGACTCTATACATGCACTATTATATGCGAAAGAAGCATTCGATTTTCCGATAACGTTCTTACAATGCAACGTTTTATTGGCGCCGCAGTGAATTTCCACGGCTTATCTCGAGGTATTGAATCGCGCGCGAATAATTAATTGATAGCCGCGTTATGAGTATGAATTGTGATGTCGAGTTGCGGTTTCCCAACGATTTGCGATTGTCGAGTTTCAAGACTACTGTTACTATTAATTATAACTCGCTATTTATCGATAAAGTATCATTGTAAGTAGAAGTTCCACCATGAAAATGAGTAATCGAAACAACAAAGAATAAAATCCAGAAATTTTTGAACAAAATATGATGTTTCTCAATAAATAATTTAACAAAATCCTTCGCATTCTTTAAAAAAATGTATAATTGTCTAATCAGTAATTAAATTATTTTTCTATTCAATTAGTGCAAATGATTTTAAGTTTAAATAGATTTTATAAGTCTGACTGTTATAAGCGATTAATCGAATTAAAATAGCAAAGAATACTTTATAAATGTTTACAAATTTAGCGTTTTTCAATAATTGAATAAAATCCTACGCAATTCTTCTCTAGCTATTTGTAATCAGTTAATTAATAATTGAATTATTTTTCTATTTAATTAGTGCTAATGATATTAAGTTTACATTCGTTACAATACATGCACAATATCCTACAGTAACAAAGAAGTTTTCGGGGAAGCCTCTTTCATCTCTTACGATAAACTTTATCCCCTCTCATTTGTGTGTATCAGAGGATTAATTTCACGCTTTCCTCTCGGAAAATATTCTCTCATTGAAAGAGATTCGCCATTAAGAAAGGCAGACGCGTTTATTTCTCGTGAATCGCGAATCCGCGATTCTTTTCTTTTCAATCAGCATTCGCGCGACATTCATTATCATTGAAATGGATCCCACCTTCCACGAACGCTGGATTCTAATTAACTCGACTTTTACAATTATGCGCCGTTGTTACAACTATCAGTCGCGCATTCGGTCCGACCGAAAAATAACCGGCTTTTCAGTTGATTATCGTCCTTCTCTATTCGTCGGCGCCATTCTGCCGTCTGAATGCAGTTTGAACACCGTGGTACCAGTAATGGTATTACGTGCAAAGTGCCGCAATATCGAACGGATTCGTTCTTACTTCTACGAGCGTAATCTCTAGAGAGGACCCCCTTAGAGTCACTGCGCTATCATCCTTGCAAGTCTCTTCTGTATGCTCTATTCCTTTGGGAACGTCAAATCGCCGATTAAAAGACTCGAAGTATCTTTCTCTAATTGCTTTTTTTGGATTATCATTCTCGTATTCTTTACCAAAACTGGTTAATGGAACTAAAATCTTGCAAGCTTTAAGTACAATCTGATTTATAAGAAAATTTAAGCAATTTTAATTTTTCGGTAATAAAAAATAAAAGTAACAATAAATAGGATAATATATATAAATATAATATAATAATGTTAAAAACTTTATTTTTTTAAATTTAATCGCAAAATTTTAATTAATACGAGATGTATTTTGACATTAATAATAACAAGATAAAAAAATAAATATCAATATTGAAATTTATACGAAAAATGTTACGTAAAACTGATTAAAATTTGCAATTTTCAATATCCATTTTTTGGTTAACATTTCCGCGTTATCTTTGGCACTGGAGCAATGGAGATCGTAAACTAGTTTGAGTGGACAGGCAAATTTTTACCAAGTCAGCGCACAGTGTTCTGTGGAACAGTGTTTCTCAAGTTAAAATTTACAATTTCTTTACTAAGATTACTTTGAATTTGAAGATTTTTCCTTTCATCGAACGATTACTAAAAATAGTTCAATTTAAACATCTTAAATACGTTCTCCAAGTTTAAAAAAACAATTTTAAAAAGCAAATGTAAATATAGTTATATGTAACTTTGTATTAATACACACAAAATTATGCACAATATTATAAATGTTATTAATTTACATTTATGATATATTATAAATGTTACAACATAATACAAAATTAATAATACAAAATGCCATTATAATGTAAATTGCATGTTACAAAAGATATTGTGAACACATTCTTCTAATTCACCAAATATGCAATGCGAATAACGTTAACATAATCGACAGAAAATGTTGCCTGTTCACATTATTCTACGACTAAAACAACAGCCAAGAAGGTAATCGTGCTTATTTAAATACACAGATAATGTAAAAATTATTTTAATATATAAAAATCGAATTTCACATTTGTTCAACTGCGATTATTTTCCAGAATATGTTTTCTTAAAAAACAGATTGTTTTCTAGCAAAATGTACATGAAATCTAAGAAATTATCTTATAAAAAATCTAAGAAATTATTATTAACAATAAATTATTATACGGTCTCAATTTATTCGTCTACAATTATATCAATAAAAATTTTTCTCTTTCGCTATGTGTGAGTACTACTGTGGAATTTACTGTCTTCGGACGTGTATGATGGGGCACGTGGCGCTGCGGAATCACGCTCATACTTTATCTCGAGAATATTGATTTTCGTGGTCGTTGCGTGAGCCACATCGGTGGTCGACGGACGAGCAAAAGAATCTAAAAAATTTAGTGGGTATGATGGAAGCCGGCCTGGCAAGACGCCAAGTACAGCATCGTGCTTTGAGGGAACCATAATTTGTAACTGAGCCGTCAACGTATAGCTGTATTGTTATCGAGAACACTTCGTCCGCGTCGCTCAAAAACGAGTCCAAGTACCGCATTTCCTATCGAAATCCACATAGTGAAAGAAACACGCATATCGGAGCATGCTGATACATTTCTCTGATATATGGTACTTCTCTATCTTTACGACAGCAAGACAAACTGAGAACACAACTTGATACCCGGTTGCATTAGTGTATAAAGATACATCAGAATTTGTAAAATTTGATGAAGTTTCTACAATTTTAATTCCAAAACGTTAATTTTATTTATTTAAAAAAAATGGCACAGAAATAATACGCTTCTAGTAAACTTAATACGAAATTTAAATGTAAAATGTTAAATTATGAGTAAATGATATGATAAACATTTACTACCTCATTTAATTTGAAAATTATTTTAATATAATTTGAATAAATATTACGATAAATAATTGTTATTTGTGAGAAATTAGCTCTTCTCTAAAAATATCTAAAATGAATTTAAAAAATGTCTAAGATTGAAAATTAAATAAATCAAAATATTTCTTTTGAAATTATCCATAACAAAATGTAACTTCTTATCATAAGTATTGTATAAGTAATTGTATAAAATGTAAACAATCTATTAAATATCATGCGTATTACGAAGCAATTTAGGTATATTTCATGAACGTATATTGAGCTCGCAATATTGAGCCTTCGTTGTACTTCGCATAAATATACAACGCGATTCCGAATATTCGGTAATGATTTGCGTACATATAACCCCGTACTTCGGAAATTAAGGTATTTACTGCAATCGCACGTCGCCCGTCAACGATATCCGGCAAATGACAGTAAATCTCATTGAATCCTATTCACCGGAATAAGCTATGCCGCACAAAATTTAGGAGATATATATAGCGTAAATGTCTCGTGCATCGATTATGCTGCGAGCCAATAATACATTTCAGCATGATTGTCATCCCTTATATAAATACATACTATTTATTACGGGGAAGAAATATTTTCACGTTATTATTTCATTTACGAGACATCTATTTTTTATATGTCTCATTGTAATATATAAATGAAAAAGTTTCTTTCTATTTTCAACTTTTTAAACAAAAACGTGTAGGTTCCTCTTCGCTACTCAAATTCTGTAGGGAAATCTAAGGAGATGGGTACTCGACGTGAAATATTTTGTGGTCTATATCTTCACACAATAAATATTCTGTGCTAAATATCTTGATTTTTATCTCATCTTGATTTTATCTCAAGATCAATTGTGAGAACGCTAAACAAAAATTCTATAAGTAAAGAATTATAAATTAAGCAAGAACGAGGAAACGCTATCTGTTTAAAATTTACACATTGTAACAAACGCGACACGTTTTCAAGTTACCCAACTCCATCGGGTATAATAGTTAATGCCACGCGTGTGCTTAACACCCACGACTTAATTTCCGCGACGTTATCGTTCACTTGGTTGTTCAATTATATTAACCACTCCTCTCACGCCAACAGCCATTTCCCGCACACAACCCGTAAATATTCTAGAAAATTTTTCCCCGGAGATGCGCTAACTAGATCGCTCGTGTACCTATTCTATCCGGAGAACCTCATCCCATGACTACGAGATGTAGCGAATTCTGAACGGCAAAAAGGATTTATCCGCTTATCTAATAACCGTTATGCTCGTGCAAGAGTGTCGCATGGTTACGCCTTTCAAAGCAAATGTATCATCGTTTACGAGTGGACGAAAGGTCGACCAACTTCTCTAGCGCAGTGTGTCAGGGAGTTAAGTTACTTCGTCGTCTTACGGGTCATAGGGTCGTCTTCTCGACCGCTGTTGTCGCTGGTCGAAGAACCGGGGATGAAGCCGAGCGGGATAATTTATCGCGTTCCAACATTGCAAACGATGAAACGGCCTCGCTTAAGGGCGGAAGTTGGATCGGCCTTGTCGACATGTCTTGATCGCTTCACCTTGCACTATTCTTCATCGTGGATCTCATCGACCAAATTTATCCCTGCGGCAATACCTTGACAGTGCAGCGTTTTACTTCCTCTCCTTTCTTCTCCATTCCGTTCCAATCCCTCGCTTCTCTTTCCTCGCTCTCTACTTTTCTCATTTAGATCCAAGAGATACTTCCATCAAACGTCCCTTTTTTATATACTTGTACGTATTTATTCCTATTCGACAAGCTATAGATTTCTTCTTATTTTTTCCTCAAGAATCACTATCGTTAGTATCGCTACCTTTTTAATTAACTGTATAATTTCTAATTATTCATTGCTGTAGTTCATTATTTTCTCTTTGCAACTTAACAGAAATAAAACTATATTTTTTATGATATGAAAGAGAAAACACTGTTCTACTTTATTCAACCATCTGTTCCTTTTTAACTACCTTTTCTACCGCTTGCACGATTTTCTTTCCCATTTTCTTATTCCCCTTTTCTCAGAAACTTACTTTACTAACGAAACTTGCAACTTTTTTATGACGCTCAAATCGCTCATTTACTTCGCGAGAAGTTTAATAAGACTTACAGGCCGAAATGGCACTTGAGCGTTTTACGAGCCGCCACGCCGAAAGGACAGTTCTCTTAAACAAAAAAAGAAAAACGCACGATTCGCAATGATCATGTAACAGGCATATTTATGGTGTGCTTGCGCAGCGTCAAGTAGTAGCACGATCGAGAGTTACATTCAGGCCGCGGCATTTATCGATGAAAATAAGAGCTTTTCGAACTTCGTGTGCACACACAGCTAACTTTCGCGTTAAAGGATGGTGATTACATAGCAAACCACGCGCAAAGCATTGCGAGTGTTAACTTGTTTCGAGAAAAGTAATATCCGCATTGCTTCGCACAATGGATGAGAACTCCATAATTGAAAAAGTGAGTATGTTTACTATGTTAATATGCAACTTGAAAGATACTTTATAGCCTGTTTTATATTTACACAAATATAATATATATTATATGATACAGACTCAAACAGTTATAAAGAATTCACTGAAATCTTGACCCGTGTGAAGCTGGCCTCCCAATATTGAAAAATCGATTTTTTTCATCATGCATTCGTTTGCTCATCGTTTGCTCACGAATGTTCAGTTGGAATTTTCGTTTGCTCACCCTTAGTTCAAAAGATACAAGAACATTAAGTTTTGGTATCAAATTAAAAAACCGATTTCTTTCTTCATGCATTCGTTTACTCATCGTTTGCTCACAAATTTTTTGAACTAAGGGCGAGCAAACGAAAATTCCAACTGAGCATTCGTGAGCAAACGATGAGCAAACGAATGCATGAAGAAAAAAAATCGATTTTTTAATATTGGGGGGCCAGCTTCACACGGATGAAATCTTGTAAAAAATTCCTAGACTAAGAAGTTCTAAATTTTTCGAATATTTTTATTAAATGTAATTTTCAAATAAATTGGAATACAAGCAATGCAAATAAAATATATATTGAAAATTATAGTATATACCATACTTATTGCTAACTAATCATCAATATCTTGTATTATCTAGAAAAAATAATCAAAGAAATTCTGATTAAGATATTGCACTTGTTTAATTCTCAAGCAATGGGTAATTTGAATCTGAATCAAAAATTGTTGAATGATTGTATAATTTTTAAGATCAAAATCAGACTCCGTATTGAAGATTAAGATTGAAAGATTGAAATTTGACCAATCAAAATAATAGGAGCTAAAATTCCTTTATCCTCATTGGTCAAATTTCAATTTTCAATCTTCAATTTCAATCTTCAATGCGTAGTCTGATTCCGGTCTAAGATTGTTATACTATGAGGTTCTGAATTGTAAGATAAAGAAAACTTTAAACCTTCCTCTACCAATCGTCATAAAGCAGAAGTTCACTTGCATTGTGTATTTAAAATAGAATACTTTAAAACTTAGATGTAGTTTTCATAGCTGTAGTTAAGTAATAAGAGTTAATCTAACAGTACCAGGCTTTATAAATAAAGGAAATAAATTTCGTCATTATCTGGATAATCCCTGTTCTGAAGCGATCTTTGCAGGAGCCACGAAATAAAGTATAATATTTGAGCACTCATAGATATTTCTTTTAAATTTACTCGTTACGTTAAGAAGCTTAAGACATGAACAAATTTAATTTTATCTTTTTCAAGAGATCTGCCGATTGTGCAAAACGAGTCAATACCTTCTCTACGTAAGCTGCAACGTGAAGATTTTGCGTCTTTGTTTTCGGACAAATTCTTTACTTTTTCGCGAAATAAAGGGAGCAAACTACAACATGAGATGTATCCATCTGATTGTGAAGTTTTTGAAGCATTCATTCCGGAAAAACGAAAATTTTGATGATTTATAACGCACATACTAAAAAGTTGTAGTTTGTTCTTTAAATTTGTTACACGATATGTTTCGAGGAAGGTAAATAAAAGCAGGTTTTATAAAACATACATAAAATGTTACAGACGAACATGACATGTTAGAAAAGTAAACATTGCGGAAAATGGTAACCAAATTAAAAAAAACGTCTATTGAATATAACTAATTTGTTTTTCAGATATAAAATAAATATAAACTTATATTTAAATAAAATAAATAACTGCATGTTATTCTTAACAATAAATAACAAAATAATAGACAACTTAATATTAGTTTAGCCACAATATAAGATTCATCACGCTCATGATGCATCTAAAAAAAAAATGTTAAAATATATATATTGTATTTATTATAGCAATGTGTTTATTTACAAAAAAATGATTTAATAATAATTATTTTTAATATTCTAAAAAAACTGTTACAGCAGTTTTCTTTATCTGTATCTTTTCTTCTTTATATTGCTTGTGCCTCAAAAATTAAGACAGGTCTTGGAAGAGCAGTAGAAAGTAATAGATCCACTTATAATGCGGCTTACAAGTTTCGCAATTAATAGTAAATCGAAGCTTTACAAGTGAGATTACTTGTTCAAGTGAGGGAAGTTCACGATCACAGAGAGATTGAAGCTCCTGTCTTTGACAGTCATTGCTATTTCCATCAGTCTCGCGACGGTGCATTAAGAAGTAGACTCTACAGGGATTTCCGGCGGAAGTGCCATCATGGAACGACAGGATAATTTGTCGTTGCATCTCGGTGCGAATGACGCTCGCGCGAATAAAACTCCTACGGGACAGACGGGCGAGAGGAGAGTTACAAATGGGATTCCGTGAGGTAAGACGTAGTGGAATTCGCCGACGTTACTGCCGCCTTATTTTGATAAACGGTGCGACGCGCTGCAAAAGGAGAGCGTGTAATCCGAGTTAATTAGAGCGCCATTACTGTAAATAAGCGCATGTTAAATCACGCGCTCTGTCTTTCCTCGCAATAAGTCGATCTCGTATTGGGGGATATCTTGCGGACACTATAGTCCCGCTAAATCCCGATAAATCCGACCGTTCTCTATCGGTACGCCCTTCCGGAAATCGATGAGAGCGTCGAGATATACGAGCTAATTTACATAGCCGTCCGATGTAACTCGCTTTTTTACCGAAGCGGATTACGCGCTCAATTAATGTTTAATAGGGTCTGAACTTATGGAGAGAAAAGCGCGTTTCCAGCAATGTTGATTTATTTCCGCGTTTGTATGAATCCGTGCCATGGATTAAATTTTCATCTTGCATTATGTATTGTAACATTACTTGTGTAATACTGCAGCTGTAATTGTATCATATCTCATCTTTTAAGCAAAAATAAAAAGGAGTAAAATCAAAATATAGTTTTGATAGCAAGACATTGACACGTATTTCACGAAATATAAATAATACAATAAAGTCTAAAAGGAACGATATAATACAATACAATAAAGTCTAAAAGTAACGATATAATAAATTCAATAAAGTCTAAAAGTAACGATATAATAAAATATTATCTTTCAGTTAATAAATATTTCAGCATTGCTAAGAATGTTTTTCAAAACTTTATTTTTTACACATAGATAAATTCAAATCTAATAAAAATCTAATTAAAATTTATGTTCTCGTATATAAAATGGCCCTTTCAAAATATTTCGATATTTATAACCGTATATGTTATCCAGGCACTATCCTTGAGCCAAAATGATATTTTATTTCTGTATCGAGATAAAACGTGCAGAACTGGAAGCAGGCCAGAGCAAACCACGCAGATTTTCTGTCGCCTTAGGCTAAAGAAAAACTAAATACAGTAGCGTGCGCTCACATGGTTTTCTCTCTTCGAAATAATACAAATTTTACAATGTCACAGTAAACATTCGATATTTTTTCAAATATCAACATACTTTTGGAAGCTTTCCAATAGATTTTTTAGTATATTATCCGCGTACAAAATTGAAGATTATAATTCAAAATCTTTGCGTAATCTCACTTTACTCACTTGCTTTGGAAAAATATATTTATTCAAAATATTTTGTGGAATCGTTATTCAATGAGATATAAAATACAAACAATTATTATGTATCATATAATTATTATATATCATTAATATAACTTCCAGATAAAATCATTAATGAGTTTTAACCCTCTTATATTTTACTTTCAATTCAATTTCAATTTATCGAATATCGTTAATGGACGCAATAAAGAATAATAAAAGCGTTAATGAGAAATAAAGAAGTATAATAAAATATCGACACGAAAGTCGACAAGAATGATTTATGAACAGATGTTTGTGACGTCCGACTTCGTATTTTTCAGTCACCCTCGACGACATTCAATTATTGATTGAACTGGTCAGATCGTGTTATGGGGGAGCCACGAGCAAAATAAGGCTTATATACTTTAGGGCTGAGTCGCGGAGAAGTAATTTAGTGTACCTGACAGTCGCTATAATCTCGTAACGAAATACACGAGAAAACCTGGGAAGATCTCTGAAGCGGAAGATCACCGAAACAGCACGATCGACATGCAGTACGTATGCTGAGGCACACACACGCGTACGTTGCGAATATGTACGTGATACTGCGTACTGACAGGAAACTGATTGTGACCCAGAAAGCATCGAATCGGACGAGCCACCAAACGACGCTGGCGACGGGAGTAATTTTCCGCGTATGCAGCCCATTGTTCCGCACGAGTGAAAACGGATGAAATTCAAAGTAAAATTTCGATTGAAGTGGCGAAACTT